CAATACAAAATTCCAACAGATGTACCACCATTCTCTTTCACCGTCACCAAATATTGTGTGATGAGAAAAGGATCCGAGGCAACCTCCACAGTCGTGCCTGGGACATAGCTGAGAACCCGAGCAGACTGTCCTTTAGGAAATCAATGCGATATAACTGGTTTCATTGTCATAGGTATTGATCGAACGTGTCAGGTTCACAAACATAGACTCTTAAGGGCTCTCAGACTTGGTAGCCAAACAAAGACAGGACTCGTATCCTTTCATGTTTCCAGTTAGTCTATCGCTTTTTATGTGCCCTGGTGCATTAACAAGTAATCGGCAATCCAGATGATCTTTCTGGGTCATTGTTCTTCACGAGGAAACAATAATTACATGTTTGGTAAGAAAAAAAAATCTCATCGAGGCTGGATTTGTATATTTGTTTTCAGTATGCTTATTTCTTTCATAATTGGGTCTTGTCTAAATCCCCTTTAAGTTTTGTGCATAATAAGATATCGTGAGTGAACTTTAATAAATTTTAAATTTTTTCTTAGATAAAAGTAATGGACACGGAGAATTTAGTAAGGATGTCAAATGGACCGAGCGGCTCTTTGGCTTGACCCGTCAAAGCTCGACTCGTGGGCTACTCGGGCTCCACACGAGCCGAGCTGAGTTGAGCGGTCATGCTCGCTAAGTGAGCCACTCGTGGGTACTCAATGAGCTTGCCTACTGGGCTCGAGGGTCGCCGACTACAGTGACCAAAAAGGTCGCTTTTAAAAATCAAGTGACCGTTTTGGTCACTGTAGATAGTTACGTGATCGTTGCGGCAACAGTCATTGGCCCCTTTTTTACCTCTATAAATACCCTATCAACGTAACATTTTTTTCACACAACAACAACATTTTTTACTCTATTCAACATTCTACTACTTTCAATTTCAATATTCTTTATCTTCTTGCATCTTACTCTCTTCACATACTCATATTTATTTACTTTACTATAAATCTATGATACATATTCTATTATATACTTATATTTTATACACATTGTCATTAGAATTTACATTCCTACAAATTAAAATTATCTATTCCTTACATATTCATTCGTCATTTCATCTTTATTCAAATTCATATATTATCAATTCATTATGAATTGATTCATGATCATTTGTTGAGGGTTTGTTCGGTATCGGTGGTGAATTACATGTGACACCACAAGGCAATTTCATAATGAATTTGTCTGTCTCGACGAAGCACCCATTCTCGAAAATATTTCAAATTTGGATGCATTCAATTGATTTGGATTACGTTGATGTTCCGGAAACGAAATATGAGGAATTAATTATTCTGGATGCAATAGGGAAGCAAAATGGAGAAAAAACAGGCAAAATGTTGGTATCACTTTAAATTGATTCCAATTGGGTCATATGGTCGACGAAGTCGCAGTCTAAAGTATTATGTAAATACTGTCAAACATGATTGGCATGGCAAAAGGGCTTTAGTACCACACACCTCAACCGTCACTACAAAGCATGTGCAGCAAAATATAGGCTTGTTGGTGTCTCTCAAATGCAACTGCAATTAGGTAGTCCAACCGTCGGTTCTGATTTTACTACACTTTGCACATGGATGTATTTGGAGGATAAATAATATCTTCAACTGAGCTACTTTGGAGTAAGTATAAACACTTTTCGTTCCGATACAGTAGAATATTTCCTTAATACAAATAAACAATTGGTTACTGATTTGAAAAAAAATATGGTGGCTTTATATCTTTAGCTTCGCATTTATGGAAAGAAATTAATAAAAAAAAGGTTATATAACTGCAACTGCACACTTTATAAACTCACTTTGGTGTATGCATAAAAAAATTATTACTTTTAAAATACTTGAATTTCCTCACAATGTTAACAATATATTTAACGTTATTATGAACATTATTAGAGAATATCATTACGATAGTAAAATTCGGTATTTTACATTTGACAACACTAGTGTTAATAAGTCAATTATCAATAAATTGTCTAGGGTATTGCAGTTCGATTTCGATGGTTATTTATTTCATATTCGTTGTGTATCATATTTTTAATTTAATTGTGCAAGATGGTTTGAAACATAAGAATGAAATTCAAAGAATTAGTGATGCACTAATATATATCACGATTTCACCTAATAGAAAATAAGCCTTCGAGGAGTTTCATATCAAATTTTGGGTGACTTATACAAAAACATTTGTCAATGACGTATGATATAGATGGAACTTCACTTATTATTAAAATCATGCAAATGATTTGAACATTTAATAACTGAATTTTATAACAACTAGTCGGAGTTGAATGTATATTGCACGTTATTCTGAAATACTTTATAAGTACTGTGAAAGTAATATTTGACCCTTCATTTGTCTATTTGATTTAAATATAAGATAAATGCAAGTCCCTAAAACTAAATGTTAATTTATATATGTATGTAAATAGTGAAATGAATACTTGAATGTGAGTATCAAAATTACAATTAAATGTATAAATGAAGATGAATGACAAATACGACACGTGAATTAACGTGAATGTTAGTTAATTTAGAATTATCACTAAGGAATGTATATGTGATAATGAATGTTAAATCATTTATATTAAATGAATATAATTTAATTTTTAATAAGTGAAATTGGATGCTAAATTAGTATACATGGATGTGAATAATGAACTGTATTCTTGAATGTGAAATTTTAATTAATATTAATTAAATGAATATGAATGATAAGTAAAAATTAATTGGTGTTTTAGAAATTGGATCGGCCCGATCGATTAAATCGAGAAAACTGGGGAATCGGAACAAAAATCGGTCCGATTAGACTTATAAAACATTAAAACCTCTAATTAAAAACTTGTCCCAAAGCCCATTAAACCAACCAGTTTTTGAAAAACTAGTGACCCGATTCCCGCTTTTACCGGTTCAACCAATATATATGTGTATATATATATTTTTTAAAATTTTTAAATGTGTATTTTTAAAATTTTTGTAAATATATATTTTTTAATTTTTTTAAAAACCACGGTTCGATCCTAATTCGAACTCGGTTCAACATTTTGACCATTAACTCTTGTCTCTTTTTCTAGTCGATGATGGATCGATTTTTAAAATATTGGAATTATTAACATGGACGTGAATGTCAATGTGAAATTCTAATTAATATTAATTAAATGAATGTGAATGTTAATTACTTGAGAATTAATTATAGTAGTTATTACAATTTGTAAATTAACAGATGTTGAAAAATAAAAAGTAAGGTATTATTGAATTAATTGAATTATAATAGGGTTATAATCGTTCAAAAAATGATTCTCACTTAAAAAACTCGTGATCCGTTCCCGCTTTAATCAGTTCACTCTATGTAAATGTATATTTTAAAAAATTAAATGTATATTATTAAAAAAATTTAAAAATCACAGTTTGACCCCGATTCAACATTTTGACTCTTGACCCCTTTTTTTCGAGTAGATGGCCGAATCAATTTTTAAAATATTGGAATTATTAACATGGACGTGAATGTGAATATGTAATTCTAATTAATATTAATTAAATGAATGTGAATGTTAATTACTTGAGAATTAATTGATTTATTCTAGTTTGTAAATTAAATACATGTTAAAAAACGAAAAGTAACGTATTATTGAAATAATTGAATTATAGTAGGACTATAATTGTCCAAAAAATGATTATCACTTAATGTGAATGTATATTTTTTAATTTCTCAAAGACCAAGGTTCGATCTTGGTTCAACCCTAATTCAAACTTTTGACCATTGACCCTTTCTCTTTTTCGGATTGATAACCGAATCGATTTTTTAAATATTGGAATTAATAACATGGACATTTACGTGAATGAGAATGTTAAATTCTAATTAATATTAATTAAATGTATGTGAAATTTAATTAATTGAGAAGGTCGATGATCGGGTTGATTTCAAAATATTAGAATTAATAACATGGACGTGGATGTGAATGTGAATGTGAAATTATATTTAATATTAATTAAATGAATATGAATTTTAGTTAATTGAAAATTAATTATAATATTTATTACGGTTTGTAAATTAAATATATGTTGAAAAATGAAAAGTAAGGTATTATTGAAATAATTGAATTGTAATATAACTATAATCGTCCAAAAAAAGATTCTCGGTTGATGTGATATTTAATATATTATACATAAACATATTAGAAACGACGATGACACTATTTTAAATGAATTTGATTTGCTTTTAGCTTTTAAAATTAAAAAAAAAAAAATTGACAAGTTTTAATGATTTTACAAATATTTTATCTAGATTGTACTTTCTACTAGTTGTATTATACTTAAACGTCTTTACATCATTGCAATGACTTTTCATAATACAAAAATGATCTCGATTTTAATGAAATTATATTTTCTATATAATTAAATTTTATAAAATATTGGGAAGATTTGTCTATATTATTTTCTTTGGCATGCATCATATACCACAGATACAATTTATCAAGTACTAAATATATAACTCACCATATTTCAAAAACTTTAACTTTTAATACACTTATCACTTCCCTTATAGGAATTTAGAATAAACTTTATGTGAAATGTATGAATTATATGTACAACGAATGTGTGCACATATTAGTTGGTCTTCCTCTGCACCTACTCCCCCCGTTATTATTGAAGAAGACGAAACTGAAATATTAAATTTATTTGAAGACATTAATACGTATAAATATGATGCATTAGGTTCTTCTAGTAGTAATATGTCTACTGCATGTAATCAAACATCGGACACAAATCCAAATGCATCGCATACTTAATTACTTCATTACTTTAATCATCATATACCTAGTAATACAACAATTAAAAAAAAATCATAAAAAGTAATTAACTTCTGGCAAAAGTATGAACGACAATGGCCAATGGTTTATGCGATTGCAAAAGACCTACTAACCCCTCCAATTAGCACTGCAGTTTCGGAGTCTATTTTTAATGCAGGTAAGAGAGTTGAGGTCAGGAGCCAACTGAAAGAAAATATTTTGAAAGCATTAATGTGTGAGAATGTTGGCAAGACGCTCATTTTCTATTGTAAAATAAATATGCTGAAATTGCATATCATCAGGTAAGTGATATTTAATTTAATCGTAGTAATAAAATTTGTTATTTTATAATACTTTTTATAATTTTTTTTTTTTAAATGTACACGTAACAAGTTATTCTTATACAATTTTTAACTATATCTACTCGAAATTGAAGTAATCGTTCCCAATCCAGTTAAAAGAGGAAGATTTTATCTAAAAATAAAAATAAAAAAATCGGGAGCTTGCGAGCCAAAGCTCGTCTCGGCCCATGAGCTCGAAGAATGTTCGACTCGTTCCAAACAAGCCATGAGCCCAGCTCGTGGGCAATAGAGCTAAGCCGAGCGCTAGAATTTAGTGCAAAAGATATGCAGCAAATGAAGAGTGACAACAGATAGGGAGTAGGACCCCATACGACACTTGGCCCTCATTTGCTATCATTATTCAATTTTTTTTTCTTGAAACTTATTTTTTGCTATATATTCTTACTGTAAAAAAATTTATACGTAAATTCAAAACTCTTTTCTATTTTTTAATCACATATTTTCCAAAAAATATACTAGTGTAGAACTCATTTTCGTCAAAAAAATTTCTTTTTAATGGATATCAAACAAGGGCTAGTAAAGCGTAAGGACTAATATGTGCCTAATTAAATTGAAAGTGTAATATTATTAAAAAAAAAAAAAAAAAGACCTAAAATCACG